ATCTTTGAGAATTTTGCAGACCACTCTCAGAAGCAGAGGTATGGGGGGGAACAGGTAAATAAGTCCCGAGGACCAAGGGTAAAGGAGACCGTTTAATAGAGATTGTGGGTCCTTGCCTCCTCGACTGCAGAACAGAGGACACTTTTTGTTGTTTCTGTTTGCAAAGACATCGACTTGGGGAACTTCCTACTTATGGAAGAGTGGGAGGAGGTATGTTGGGTTCATTCCCCACTCGTGAAGGCTGAGTCCTGCTCGACTTAGATGGTCTGCCTGCACGTTCATGCATCCTGGAATGTGAGTGGCTACGAGGAATATGTTGTTGGCGATGCAAAACACCCATAGCTGAATGGGGAGGGTGCAGAGTCGTAGGGAAACAAGCTTCCTTGTCTGTTGACATAGGAAAGTGCAGTGGTATTGTCCGTGAGGACAGTGACACATTTTCCCTTGATTAAAGGGAGGAAACTGGTGGCAGCGTGTTGTATAGCGAGGAGTTCTAGAAAGTTTATGTGTTGCTTCCTCGGGTGCGTTCCACTTGTCTCCAACAGAGAGGCCCATGGAGTGTGCACCCCATCTCATCAGGGAAGCATCCGTCGTAATGGTGACCTCGGGTGACGGAGGGTGGAAGGGCATTCCCTGAAGGATATTCGAAGGGACAGTCCACCAAAATAAAGAGTCCTGTATGCTGGGAAGAGGGGATAGGACAACATTGTGTGCATTTTCCGACTGGTCGTAGTTGTGGATGAACCAGAGTTGTAAAGGACGCATTTTGAGTCTCCCGAAGACAAGAACTGACGTAGTTGCAGCCATGAGGCCTAATAACCTCTGAATTTGGAAGACAGTGACGGAGGGTTGGGTACGGACGACGGTGGCTAGGGAAATGATATCTGCTGCCCTGTCCTGTGGCAGGTAAGCCATGCATGTTGTTGAATCCAGTATTGCACCGATGTATTGTATTCTCTGGACCGGATACAAATGAGACTTTTGTTGATTGACTCGTAGCCTGAGGTTGTCCAGTAGAGCCAGGGTCTACGTGATGTTTGAGACCAGGGCATTTTTGGACGGCACTACCAGAAGCCAATCGTCTATATATGGGTAGATGGAAACTCCCCGGAGACAGAGGAAAGCTGCAACCACAATCATAGTTTCTGTTAAGACACTGGGGGCGCTGGATAGCCCGAACGGAAGGGCGGTGTAGTGGTAATGTTGTTGACCAATCGCAAAGCGTAGGTATTGGCAGTGGAAGGGGTGGATGGTAAGGTGGAAATATGCGTCTTGGAGGTTGAGAGTGGCCGTCCAAACGTGTCTGCAAAGCAGTGGCACGATCTGTTTTAGGGACACCATGCGGAAGCGGTGGTAGGTCACAAAACGGTTCAGTTCTCTTAGGTCTAATATGGGTCGAATGCCTCCGTCTCTCTTCAGGACTGTGAAGTGTGATGGTACACTTTTGATGGCTCCCAGGTGTG